TTAAAATTTTCCAAGTTCGATTTTCAATTACAATATCTTGTTATAAAGACGACCAACAAGGCCATGAGGAATTTGTTCATCCAATACAACATCGCCATCCCCTCTAGTGCTGCCGTGGAGCGCATGTTCTCCATGGGCAAGGACGTCTTGAGGCCCAAGAGCAGCAGAATGAGCGACAGGCATTTTGAGATGCTAGTATTCTTGTGGGGGAACAAATGAATAATTAAAATTATATAATATAAATCATAATAAATGATTAAAAATTAATGAATATTTTTTTATTTTGCATATGTTACTCCCGTACACAGAATACGTGTTTCGGGGCAGCATTTGTAGGTCTATGAAAACTCGTTGACGCTGATGCTAACGGAGTCAATTTATGAAATCGTTTACGCCGACGGCATCGAATTTCTCGGCCGTTCACGCTGGCGGCGCCACTTTTTTTTTGACGCGTACAACACTGTATATATATATATACATATATATATATACCCACCTATTTTCTTTGATTATTCTGTAATCCTGAATTTATTTAATTGTACCTAATTCCAAAATAAAAATACTGTAAAAGCAAATTTAAATTGTTTTAGGTCATAAAAAGAGTCAAGAGTGTTTAAAATAAATGTATACAGATTGCCTAATAGATTTTGTTGCATTAACATGAATGTTTGCATTACAACAATATTGTCCTCAACTCTTGATGTTGATTGCTGTTGAAATGAAATCATTCACATAATTGCAACAAACACCTGAAATGACGTGTGTATACATTTTTGGAGACACTGTTTACTGTATTACACTACCCACACCCACAGAAAGCAGTACAGTACTACAGTGACAATAGCCAGAATTTTTATTGTGCTGTAACATGGCGTACAAAATAATTTTTTTCTAGGATAATTAGTTTCTTGACTGTGTTACAGCAGCAAGTTCAATAGAAAATATCTCATTTTTTGGTGACAACCACTACTGCTAATGCCCGACATCTTCAAGGACATAAGAGTGTGTAGGTAAACAGACCAAGACACACCCATTTAACATACTTTGTGCAGTAAATGCCCCAACCCAATCTTTATACAGGCGTTGTAACACAGGAGGAGGAACTCAACAATATGGCACCGTTCATGGTCAATCTTCATGGTGCAGTAATACTAAATTTTACCAAACAATAGAAAAGTAACTATGACAAGAGGCTATAAACTACCCCTTTGGATGACCTTATAAACACCATTGTCCGGGTCAGGAGAGGAGACTCGCTCTATCCATACAGTAGCTTTATAAAGTAAACAGAGGCAATTCATAGAGACAGTAAAACCTCTATTTAATGGACTATATAGGAGACTGTAATCCTTTATAACGAGGTTCATTAGATACAAAACTCCAATCTAACGAACTATATGGAGATGAAAGTCCGTTATATCAAGTGTTCGTTATGTTAAACCCCCATTTAACGGATTACATGGAGAGACAAGTCCAATATACGGAGGTATCACTGTATAACATTTCACACTTGCCAAAAGCATAAATTTAATAACCTAGAGAGTGGAGGTGTAAGGTCCGCCAAACTGCACAGGAAACCATCAATTACCACCAAAATTCGGACACATGTGAACCACAAATGAGGGAAGCCTTTAAGTAAGCAGAGCAAAGCCCAATCTTCAACAGCTCACTAATATCTATAAACATTAACTTATGTATATAAATAAGAGGCTAAATGTAGTGATAAATTGGCAAATAAAATAGTGGTCTTTCTCCCCACACAAAGTTCAGTTACCAGCACATGTTTAAGAATACAAATGAACTCTAAACTCTGACCTGAATAAAATCAAGTGACATTAGCTAAATAAAATAGTAGCAGTGGCATCCCCATAGTGAAGGGGGTTAATGATGAAATGCTATTAATGGTATGGGTGTTATAGGCATCATTGAGACACTCATGAGTCAACCTAAATTGCCTTAATGATATGCGACATGTTCTGAAATTTCCACTCCCTGAAATACTGGATGAAGGTTCCTACATCTCTGAATATCAAGCTTCTTTATGTGGGTAACCCAAAAAACTAAATAAACAAATAAAATGCATTAGTATAGGTTGATCAATATACCGCCCCCTTCAACACCTGAACACTAAACGTCAAGATGAAAGAAAAAAAAATCTTACACATCATCCTAGTCACTGAATACAAATAAATGCAAAGAGAACTACATTAATGCCATTAAATAAACAGTTTTTAAACACAGATAATCTTTACCTGAAACCTAAAATGGGGAATATTGCAGCAGCATGAAGCACACGCCTGACAATGACTCGCCCACTTCGGAAAATACTTTCAGTGAGCACTTGAATCAGTAAGATAGGACTGGCAGACGAGACATACTAATGCGATACAAACTCACAGGTACTGTACAAGCCGAGAAGAATGACGATACGCAAACCAGAATGGCCGATACATTGTATAAATCAGATTACTGTTATTCTAATTTTGTCACTGGCTATCTCCTGATTGACTCCACTATTTCCAGTCTGTCACACTGTGTAGGCCAATGATGGTTACCAGTGTCTGTAAGATACTTGTAGCTCTATGTTCTGCACATCTGCTACAGTGTGGGTAAATGCCTATTATAATTTGGTAACATTTAAACAATTTAAGCGGTATTCCAGAGTGACGTAAGATATTCATCATGGAATTAACCCATTGCAATTTTTTGTGTTTAAATCATAAAATAATAAAAAAAAATTAAAATTTCTGTAAAATTTTGTACAAATTTTGACTCCCAATATCACGTAGCTTAAGTCTTGGCTGAGGCACTTATAAGTATGACTTGACAAAAATGTTTAATATGATACATGACACACTTCAGTAGTGGATGCAACACTCATTCAATCAAGAAACACATTCAAACATGTCTAGTAACTTGGACTGGGAAATTATTCCTTAATCTGACTAGAAGTTATCTGCAAACTACCACATTTCTGGTCACACATCCTGAGACAAGACCAACCATTACCTGCTGTCCACAATGGAAATAAATCAGTTGTAACTTCCAATCACATGATATAAATAGTGAGGAGCAGAACTACACAGATGTAACAGTACATCTTGTCATGCACTCAATGCCAAAAACTGACAACATCCTCAAGCAAAAACCATGAAGAGCTCAAGGAATAATACAATCCTAAGAGAACTTGACTTTTGGAACTTTCATACAGTTGGATCCTCACATCATCCTTACAGTCACTTCCACAACAGTCTAAAAAATACTTCTTTTTACAATAAAACTTTACCCTGGGAATTAAGCTTTAAAAATTAATGAGACAATAATGCCACTAAAACGAGCATAAAACTCCTTAATACTTCTTAACCCTTAACAGGCGGCTAAGGATTCCCTACTACCCCCGTATGTGCATAAATGCAACGCACGATACATGAAACATCCAGTGATGATGACCACCGTCTAAACAGTTAACTTCCACTGATGATGACCACCATTTAAGAGTCAATAAAAATTCAAGACTATCCCGAGGTAATGATCCATGTAAAGTTTTTTTGTCACGTTAAAACAAAAAGTGAGCTGGAAGTGTTTAAAATCTTGTGAGTTATGAAAACTTACAGTTCCTCCACCATCAGATCACACACACTGTATTTATCCTTACTCATGGGTTTTACATTTTAACGTGTTGAAAACTAGCTCTTGGGTACGTAAATGCATAACAATGTTAGGGTAATCTACTTGATAATTGATTTCTTCTCCTGTATAAAGAATTAATTAAAATTGGGCTACATATAATATTCTTAAATGCTGTTTTGACATATCTTTTCTGTAAATTTCCAACATTAATGAAGTGTACTCTACAATAAAATCCCAATACAGGTTGATCTTAATTAAATCTAAAACTGCCTAAGGGAGACACCAATTTCCTTATCGAATAATGTTCGTCTTGATTTAAAAACAGATTGGGATACACAGACTCCACCTTATCACTGGCTATCATACAGTTCTGCCCACTCACATACTGTACCATACACATTTGTCTGTCAGTAGTCAGTTACCCATCTCTCTGATATACAATCACATAACTGCCAATCTGTTGTTAGTCAGACATCCACTTGTTTCCTGTTCACTGTCAGAAACCCATGTCTCCTGTTCACTGTCAGAAACCTGTGTCTCCTGTTCACTGTCAGAAACCTGTGTCTCCTGTTCACTGTCAGAAACCTGTGTCTCCTGTTCACTGTCAGAAACCTGTGTCTCCTGTTCACTGTCAGAACCCCATAAAACCACGTCTCCTCTGCCCGATCAAATGTTAACTTTCATGTTGCCTCCAGTCAAACTTATTCCCATTATTCTGGCAAGTTCATAACATGTTCGAACATAACTTTAACCAACGTGTGTCTCACTTAATGTACTCTTGAGTGAACTGGTAAGGTATAAAACAAAACATGGGGGCAAAAAAATAAAGAGAAAACAATCATGATGGGGCGAGTGTGATTTGTTGTTTATACATTATCTACCTTATTTGAATTCATGATGTAGAAAATAGGCCAAGTGTAGGTGAATGTCAGTGAAATGAATTCCCTGAGAAGACATGCAGAGCCGTCACTGTCAATGGAGAAAATATACACAAATAAAAAATGGAAGTATCCACAGTACAATAAAATATAAACTATGAACACATGAATAGAATTTTAAAAATAACTTTGTGATTAAAGATTAACTAAAAGAAAATTATCAGGACCAGAAACAATACAAGTAAGAGTGAGAAATTTAAAAAAAAAAAAAAAAAAACCAAGACTCAAGAGACAGATTTCTAATGCTTAAAACTTTTTGATGACAGCTTTGTATTAGTCACCTCTACCGCATAAGACAGAGGCTGGGAACACTACCCTCATCCTCACCTTTACCTACATAAAAAAAAGGTATAACTAGGACCTATTACTTGACAAGATTTAGCAACTCATTATCTCCATCCAATTGACATCTTTTCAAGTAATATTTCTCTCAATCGCCATTTTTTTTTTTTTTACTTTTTTTTTATTACAAATTTTAATGGTAAAAATGTATTTAGTTTAATTCCTCAGGGTTTCTTTTTTATTGCTGGTACAAGCTAAGGTTTATCTATGAATCAAATTACTTTCTAGTGTTAAGTCATTCTGAAGATTACACTCAGCTGAAGCTTGGGTCACAACAAACCAGCTTGTAGCCTTTCCACAGTACAGTACAAACAAACCAGCATTTTCAATCACTGGATAGCAGCAAACATGCCATTCTGTATCATGGTTCAAGGTGTTCACAATGTTTGCAAGTTATTTCTAGTATGTCTTTCAGTCTAAGCATCCAGCGCCCCTACAGTACAGTACAGTATCCCGGAATATCAATCACACGGCACAAACCACAGTGAGAATGCATCCCAGTGATATCTTGTGGCTTGGTACAATCAATATGTCTTCACCAGAAAGGAATAGGTATCACAAAGCATCATTTGAATATTAATAAGTGATAAAAATCATCAATTTCCGAATTATAAACAATTCCTTTCCGCTGATACTCCACTCGAGACGTTTCCTTTACAATGAGTACCGATCACAGTCCTTCCCAATGTGTCCAAATATCATGTCTTGGAAGCTTAGAGTAAAAATCACTGTACAGTAACTATACACACTGCCAATATGCTAGAAATTCTGCTGTCTCTTTCTCTTCTGGTCCATGGCATCGAGAATAGGTTGCCTTTTGGCCTGATATCGCTGACGGAGCTCATCAATTTCTCGCTCCATCTCCTGGTCTAGCGTGGCCATGCGTTGGTGGAGCTCCTCGTACGTCAAGTGTTTTAGCTACAGGTAGAAGTAATGGTGTTAACATTTATAACATTACAATATCCTAACCAAATGTAAATTCACTTAACCTAACCAATCTTCACCTGGCCTAGCCTAACCTAACCTCACTTAAACAAACCAAATTTCACTTAACATAGTCAACCCTAATCTAGCCAAACATATCCCTACCTAACCAATGCAATCCTAAATTATCCTATCTTATTCTAACTTATCCTATGCTAATGTAAACTAATCTATCTTAACCTAACCCCTCTTAACCTAACCTAATCTAACCCTAAAGAGCTAGATAATCCCACTCTCACACAGGTAGTGACATCAGCTCTCACAAACTTTACATGACAACAACTAATAATTTATAAAAATAAAATCAATAATGATTTCAAACCACCAAATCAGCCAATCATTTTACCCAAATTTACACCATTGACTTTTGCAACAGCTTAGGTCAAAGGTCATTTGTTACCTTATTAAAATAAAAGCTTACAAGGCTAAAATTAAATAATGCAAGGTAAAAAAAAAAAAAAATATTTAACTAAACTTTCAAAAAAACGTTTAAACGTAAATAGATAAAACTCAAAGTACTTACGAAGTCAAAATCGCCGTCAATGAAAGATCTCTGGAATTTGGGCTGATTCTCCGCTGCCACACCCCTAGCAGGCACAGGATGGTGGTTGGCTGGATTGTTAATCTGTACCAACTGCCTCTGAAGATCATTCTGCAACGTTACCACACAAGTGAACGGTTGTGGTGAAACCCATGTAAAATATATATGCCACTAAGGTATAATTTCTACCAGTACAGAGCCATTATAAGAATTACGCCAAGCTAGATGGATTTGTTTCGTCATTGTACCATTGATCTTATTTTAAAATTTCTCTCTCTCTCTCTCTCAATGTTACGGTTGTTGGTAGTGGTGGTGTTATTGGTGGTGGTGGTTTTCTTATTGGTGGTGGTGTTATTGGTGGTGGTGTTATTGGTGGTGGTGTTATTGGTGGTGGTGTTATTGGTGGTGGTGTTATTGGTGGTGGTGTTATTGGTGGTGGTGTTATTGGTGGTGGTGTTATTGGTGGTGGTGTTATTGGTGGTGGTGTTATTGGTGGTGGTGGTGTTATTGTTGTTATTGGTGGTGGTAGTGGTCTTATTGGTGGTGGTGGTATTGGTGGTGTTGTTATTGGTGGTTGGTGTTGTTATTGGATTGTTGTTATTGGTGGTGGCGTTGTTATTGGTGGTGGTATTATTGGTGTTGGTGTTTGGTATTGGTGGTGTGGTGGTGGTGGTGGTGGTGTGGTGGTGGTGGTGTTGGTGGTGGTGTTGGTGGTGGTGGGTGGTGTTGGTGGTGGTAGTGGTGTTGTTGGGGTGGTAGTGGGTTGTTGTTGGTGGTGTTGGGTGGTGGTGGTGGTGGTGGTATTGGTGGTGGTGGTATTGGTGGTGGTGGTGGTGGTGGTGGTATTGGTGGTGTTATTGGTGTTATTGGTGGTGGTTGTTGTTATTGGTGGTGGGGTTATTGGTGGTGGGTGGTATTGGTGGTGGTGTTATTGGTGGTGGTGTTATTTTATTGGTGGTGGTGGTGTTATTGGTGGTGGTGGTGTTATTGGTGGTGGTGGTGTTGTGGTGGTGGTGGTGTTATTGGTTGGTGGTGGTGTTATTGGTGGTGGTGGTGTTATTGGTGGTGGTGGTGTTATTGGTGGTGGTGTTATTGGTGGTGGTGGTGTTGATTGGTGGTGTTGGTGTTGTTGGTGGTGGTGGTGTTGTTGGTGGTTGTTTGTTATTGGTGGGTGTTATTGGTTGTTGTTGGTTGGTGGTGTTGTTGTTGGTTGGTGTTGTTGTTGTTGTTATTGGTGGTGGTTGGTTGGTTGTTGATTGGTTGTGGTGTTGCTGGTGGTTGGTGGTTGTTGCTGATTGGTGGTTGGTTGTTGCTGGTTGGTGGTGTTGTTGTTGTTGATTGGTGGTGGTGTTGTTGGTTGGTGGTGGTGTTGATGGTGTGGTGGTGTGTTGTTATTGATTGGTTGTTGTTGTTGTTATTGGTGGTGGTAGTGGTTGTTGTTGTTAGTTGGTGGTGGTGTTATTGGTTGGTGGTGTGGTGTTATTGGTGGTGGTGGTGTTGGTGGTGGTGTGATTGGTGGGTGGTGTGATTGGTAGTGGTGGTGTTATTATGGTGGTGGTGGTGTTATTGGTGGTGGTGGTGAGTGGTGTTGTTGTTGTTGTTGTTTGATTGGTGGTGGTGTTGTTATTGGTGGTGGTGTGGTAGTGGTGTTGTTGTTATTGGTGGTGTTGTTGTTGTTGTTGGTGGTGGTGGTTAGTGGTGGTGTTGTTATTGGCGGTGGTGTTGTTGTGGCGTTGGTGGTGTTATTGTTTTGGTGTTATTGGTGGTGGTGTTATTGGTGGTGGTGTTGTTATTGTGTAGTGGTGGTGGTGGGTGTTGTTGGTTGATTGGTGGTGTTATTGGTGGTTGGTGTTAGTTGGTTGGTGGTTGTTGTTGGTGGTTGGTGTGGTTGTTTGTTGTTGGTTGATTGGTGGTTGTTGTTGATTGGTTGGTTGTTATTGGTTGGTTGGTGGTGTTATTGGTGGTTGGTGGTGTTGTTGGTTGGTTAGTTGGTTGGTGTTGGTTGGTTGTTGTTAGTTAGTTGGTTGTTGGTGGTGTTGGTGGTTGGTGGTGGTTGGTGTTAGTTGGTGTTGGTTGGTTGGTTGTTTGTTGTTGTTGGTGGTTGGTGGTTGTTATTGGTGATTGGTGGTGGTGGTGTTGTTGTTATTGGTGGTTGGTGTTGTTGTTGGTGGTGGTGTTGGTGGTGTTGTTGTTGTTGTTGTTATTGGCGGTGGTGTTATTGGTGGTGGTCTTATTGTGGTGTTGTTGTTACTGGTGGTGGTGGTGTTGTTGGTGGTGGTGGTGTTGATGGTGGTGGTGGTGTTATTGGGTGGTGGTGGTGGTGGTGTTGTTATTGGTTGATTGGTGTTGGTGTTATTGGTGGGTGGTGGTGTTTATTGGTGGTGGTGTGGTTGTTATTGGTGGTGTTATTGGTGGTGGTGGTGTTATTGGTGGTGGTGGTGTTATTGGGTGGTGGTGGTGTTATTGGTGGTGGTGGTGGTGTTATTGGTGGTGGTGGTGTTATTGGTGGTGGTGGTGGTGGTGTTATTGGTGGTGGTTGGTGTTTTTGGTGGTGGTGTTATTGGTGGTGGTGGTGTTGTTATTGGTGGTGGTGGTGGTGTTATTGGTGGTGTGGGTGTTATTGGTGGTGGTGTTGTTATTGGTGGTGGTGGTGTTATTGGTGGTGGTGTTGTTATTGGTGGTGGTGTGTTGTTATTGGTGTTGGTTTTGGTGTTGTTGGTGGTGTTGGTGTTGTTGGTGGTGGTGGTGTTGTTGGTGGTGGTGGTGTTGTTGTTGGTGGTGGTGTGTTATTGGTGGTGGTGGTGGTGGTGTTATTGGTGGTGGTGGTGTTTGTGGGTGGTGGTGGTGTTATTGGTGGTGGTGGTGGTGTTGTTGGTGGTGGTGGTGTGGTGTTGTTGGTGGTGGTGGTGGTGTTGGTAGTGGTGGTGATTGGTGTTGGTGAGTGGTGGTGGTGTTGTTGGTGGTGGTGGTGTGGTGTTGTTGGTGAGTGGTGGTGTGGTGTTGTTGGTAGTGGTGGTGGTGTTGTTGGTGGTGGTGGTGTTGTTGGTGAGTGGTGGTGGTGTTGTTTGGTAGTGGTGGTGGTGTTGTTGGTAGTGGTGGTGGTGTTGTTGGTAGTGGTGGTGGTGTTGTTGGTAGTGGTGGTGGTGTTGTTGGTGGTGGTGGTGGTGTTGTTGGTGGTGGTGGTGGTGTTGTTGGTAGTGGTGGTGGTGTTGTTGGTGGTGGTGTTGGTGGTGTTGTTGGTGGTGGTGGTGGTGTTGTTGTTGGTGGTGGTGTTGGTGTTGGTTGGTGGTGGTGGTGTGGTGTTGTTGGTGGTGGTTGGTGGTGTTGTTGGTGGTGGTGGTTGTTTGTTGTTGGTGGTTGGTGTTGTTATTGATTGGTGGTGGTGTTGTTGTTGGTGGTGGTTGGTTGTTTGTTGTTGGTTGGTGGTGGTGTTTGTTGTTGGTTGGTGGTGGTGTTGTTGTTGATTGGTGGTGGTTGGTTGGTGTTATTGGTGGTGGTGGTGTTGTTATTGAATTGGTGGTGGTGTTGTTGTTGTTGGTGGTGGGGTGGTGTTGGTGGTGGTGGTGGTGTTGTTGTTAGTTGGTGGTGTTGTTATTGGTGGTGGTGGTGTTGTTGTTGGTGGTGGTGGTGTTGTTGATTGGTGGTGGTGGTTGTTGTTGGTGTGGTGGTGGTGTTATTGGTTGGTTGATTGGTTGGTGGTGGTTGGCGGTGTTATTGGGGTGGTGGTGTTGTTGGGTTGTTGGTTGTTATTGGTGGTGGTGGTTGGTTAGTTGTTGGTGGTGGGTGGTTGTTGGTGATTGGTGGTGGTGGTGTTATTGGTTGGTTGGTGGGTTGTTGTTATTGGTGGTGGTGGTGGTTGGTGTTATTGGTGGTGGTGGTGTTGTTGGTGGTGATTGGTGGTGGTGTTATTGGTGGTGGTGGTGTTATTGGTGGTGTGGTGGTGGTGGTGGTGTTATTGGTGGTGGTGGTGTGGTGTTATTGGTGGTGGTGGTGGTGTTATTGATTGGTGGTGGTGGTGTTATTGGTGGTGGTGGTGGTGTTGGTGGTGGTGGTGGTGTTATTGGTGGTGGTGGTGGTGGTGTTGTGGTGTGTTGATTGGTGGTGGTTTGTTAGTGTTGGTGGTGGTGGTGTTATTGGTGGTTTTGGTGTGGGTGTTATTGGTGGTGGTGGTGGTGTTATTGGTGGTGGTGGTGGTGTTGTTGGTGGTGGTGGTGGGTGTTATTGGTGGTGGTGGTGGTGTTGGTGGTGGTGGTGTGGTGTTGTTAGTTGGTGGTGGTGTTGTTGGTGGTGGTGTGTTTGTTGTTATTGGTGGTGGTGGTGGTGTTATTGGTGGTGGTGGTGGTGTTATTGGTGGTGGTGTTATTGTGGTGGTGGTGGTGTTATTGGTGGTGGTGGTGTTATTTTGGTGGTGGTGTTATTGGTGGTGGTGTGGTGTTATTGGTGGTGGTGGTGTTATTGGTGGTGGTGGTGGTATTGGTGGTGGGTGGTGTTATTGTTTGTGGTGGGTGTTATTGGTGGTGTGTGGTGTTATTGGTGGTGGTGTGGCGTGTTATTGGTGGTGGTGGTGTTATTGTTGTTGGTGGTGTTATTATTGGTGGTGGTGTTGGTATTGGTGGTGGTGGTGTTATTGGTGGTGGTGGTGTTATTGGTGGTGGTGGTGTTATTGGTGGTGGTGGTGTTATTGGTGGTGGTGTTGTTATTGTTTTGGTGGTGTTGTTATTATTGGTGGTGGTGTGTATTGTATTGGTGGTGGTGGGTTATTGGTTGGTGGTGGTGTTATTGGTGGTGGTGGGTTATTGGTGGGTGGTGGTGTTATTGGTGGTGGTGTGTTATTGGTGGTGGTGGTGTTATTGGGTGGTGGTGGTGTTATTGGTGGTGGTGGTGTTATTGGTGGTGGTGGTGTTATTATTGGTGGTGTTGTTATTGGTGGTGGTGTTATTATTGGTGGTGGTGTTGTTGTTGTTAATTGGTGTGGTGTTATTGGTGGTGGTGGTGTTATTGGTGGTGGTGGTGTTATTGGTGGTGGTGGTGTTATTGGTGGTGGTGTTGTGTGGTGGTGGTGTTATTGGTGGTGGTGGTGTTGTATTGGTGGTGGTGGTGTTATTGGTGGTGGTGGTGTTATTATTGGTGGTGGTGTTGTTATTGGTGGTGGTGGTGTTATTGGTGGTGGTGGTGTTATTGGTGGTGGTGTTGTTATGGTGGTGGTGGTGTTATTGGTGGTGGTGTTGTTGTTGGTGGTGGTGAGTGGTTGTTGTTATTGTTGTTATTATTATTGGTGTTG